CCCCAAAACCCCAAAACCCCAAAACCCCAAAACCCCATGGCGAAAAAAGCTGGGAAATCAGAATGATAATCTTATATATTTATTTTAAATTATTAAGAAATTATTATATTATCCTTGCAATGGGAAATTGTAGGTCCACAAGTTAGCCTCCGTAGAGATCAAAAGATTTAGATGTTAATAAGAAAGATGATGAAGGTAAATAACATGGTTAATTAAGATGTAGATAATGCATTTGATGATCCATAAAATCGCCAGTAAAAAATTGTTCACAATATCAATCTAGAATAATTTGAGCATTTCAAGTTATAAAAGTTGAAAGATAAAATTTAAATTGATCCAATTGCTTACTAGAATAAGATTTATGTGACTTTTTAACTTAGTGACGAATAGAGTAATCAATTGAATTTATTAATTTTCATTACAGAAAAGGTTGAACTTTAGAGTCTGGATGATTTTTCTGATGAGTACTATAATACTTTACTTAAATAGAAAAAAATAATTAGAAAGAAATAATAAAACTCTAAATCTGCTTGTATTCAGACATTAGTATCTCAGAATAGAATGAGATATCAGGATTAAGAATTTAATCTAGATCTAGCATATATAACAAAAAGAGTAATGGCTATGGGCTTTCCTGCACAAGGAATAAGGTAGATTTATAGAAATCCATTGAATAAAGTTCTTGGATTTTTCAAAAAGTTCCATCAAAATAAAGTAAAGGTCTATAATCTTTGTGATGATGATTTTATTGATACTAATATCCTCAGTTTCAATAATGGTGAAGTCTAAGTCGCCTACTTTCCAATGATGGATCACAATCCCTGCAGAATTCAATAAATTTTTCATATGCTTTTGGACATGCTATTATATATGATTTAGGATCCTGAAAATATGGTCGCAGTTCATTGTAAAGCAGGAAAAGGTAGGACAGGAGTGGCAATAAGTGCTTATTTGATATTTATGGAGGCTTGCACAGATGGCTATGATGCAGTAGACTTTTTTAATTCAAGAAGAACAAAGGATGGTAAAGGTTTGGGTGTGGCTAGTTAGAAAAGATACTTGCATTACTTCGATAGATTTTTGAAATAAAATTTCAAATCTCCTTACAAGTAACTTATAGTACCATATCTTCAAAATCCAGAAGCGTTTAATCATTTGTTTTTGCCTAAAACCAGAATAAAATTAATGACAATTTGCATTGGACCTTTTAAATTAAATCCTTCCAGCATGAATATTAAAATATCTCTGAGATCATTTGAAAATCCAGACTTATTTAAAAAGAGCCAAAAAAACAAAATAAGAAAAAGCTACTCTCAAAATAATGTATACAATAAGCAGGCTGATTCATTCTTTATTCTTCTTGTAATTCATGAGGATATATCATTTGCAGAAGATTTATGTATAAAAATAAAGTCTACTAATCTCACTTCTTCACAGAAACTCACTTTCCATTATTGGCTTAATGCTAGATTTGTTTCAGATGGTGTTGGGAAGGTTTAGATTTCTACGTTTATGAATAAAGATTAAATAATATTTGGTAACTTTATGATACCAATGAACATGGGATGAACAAACTCTAATCAATTTTAAGTAAAACCAGAAGATGAATATTCTATTGAAAAAACTAGTTTTTAAGCTCCTACTTAAGATTTGGATAATAAATCTGCTTATGCAACCACAACTGCCACAGATATTTAATAGACTGAACCAAAAAAATAAAAAAGAGAGTATAAGGCAGCACACAAAAATCAGAGTGATATCTTTAAAGAAATAATGGAAAATTTGAAGAGTGACTTAAACAGATTCGAGTAGAATGGCTTGAAACAAATTAAAGCTAAATAAGGGCTTTAATAGTACAAAGCATTTGCATAAATTCAAAAGTCTCATCCTGAAATAAGGTAATCTATTAAAAAAATGAATTAAAGTAAGAGTCAATAAAGACTTGATTCAATGGATTTTAAAGATCTGAAGAATGATGCTTAATTAATGCAAAAAGCTGAAGAGTAAAATCAGCTGCCAAATGCTGTTTTCTCTGATTCTGATGATGAAGACTGCATCGTGAAAGATGACAATGAAGAAGGAATGTCTACGAACATAAACTATAGAGAGGATAGAGGATCTTTCAGATTACCATAAAATAAATCATAAAGTAAAAAGCAGCATCCAATAAAGCATATAAACTCATCAAGTGTAAGTAGTGTTTCTTCTAAGAAAAATATACCAAGATTCAACCTCCCATAGACTATAGTCAGAGCTAAGAATGGAGAATTTGCGATCAATGAAGAAAGCCTAAGTGAGGAGGAGGAGTAAAAAAGTTATTCAAGATCTGTAAAAGAATCAATATTTTCAGCAACTGAGGGTAGAGTGGATGAAGAAGATTACTTTAGCTCTAATAATAGAATGAAAAATAATAACACAGGAAAATAAAACAAAGAGCAATATTTAAGAAATTCTCTAGAATCTTTTATCCATCCAAAAGTTCAATCGACTCCAGGAGCAAACGATAGCAATCCTTTTAATAACAGTATTTAAAATCTGAGTATTCTCCATCCTCAGTACACTGCTAATTTCCAAGATGAAGACAGCAAGCAAGTTATAAGAATGTCAGAATTAGATGCAGGATTATAATCTCAAAACAAATCAATTAACTATTCAGCATCTGATGAAAACGATCGTCAATTTTTGTTCAATTAATAGAATCAAGGTTAATTTGTGAGTCCATTTTACAATAATAATATTAGCAACAATAACAACCTGTAAAATAATAGAAAAATGTATCGAGAGACTAGTAAAGAACGAATCTCACTTGAAATTAGTGAAAGAATAAATGAGATAAATAAATCCCAGAGTAGATTGAGTATTCAATCTAATATAAGGAGTCAGTAGATTTAAAATAATCTTGGAAGTTACCTTAGCTCGAGAAATTTAAGTAAACTAAATATCAAATCTGGATTTAATCAACAGAAGAAAAGTTTTGTCCCATCGATTAATAGTTATAAGTATAATCGGCAATCACCATTATCCATAAGTTCTAATTAAGATCTAAAAAAGCTTTTGCATTTAACTCTTTCATGCGAAGAACTTGATAAATTCAAGGAGAAAAAATTGCATCCAGATATAAAAGTTATGACTACTTTTTATTAAGATCCAGCTCTTGACCAAGCATTATTCACAGGAACTGAATGAAGAAGAGAAAAGGTTGTATGAATTATTAAATATTGATTATATAAAACATAAGATCTTTTAAGCTAAATAATATGTATATTGGCATAGTGGGGTTTTGGGGTTTTGGGGTTTTGGGGTTTTGGGG